TAAGCCATCATATTCATACAAAGTTCCTTTAAAGTGGTAGTAAATATGGCTTGCTCACTTGTACTGTCAGGTAACCTATAATAAAGCGTACGTGTAGGTACAAGGAATATCTCTTAAACATGCACTGTTTGGAAGATATGTACATTCAGTGACATCACGTGCGCATGCATTCTGAAGTGACGTCATGCTGTCCCTTCAGAGCGCTGCTCTGCGTCCATGGCTTCTGTGCACATGTGCAGGGGTGACATCATCGCAACTTGGCCATTCAAATGGCTGGAGCCCGCAAACCCAGAAGGAAGACGGGTGAAGATGGATGCCCTGTCAGCAGTGACTGAGAGCCGCTGGAGGGCTTAGTTTTTAAGGTAAGTCTCTTATAATGTGCTAGTATGTGATGCATACCAGTCTATCCCCAGGGACTCTTAGTGTGTTCCCATCCCATGTGCAATCTGTATCTTTGTACCTGTTGTGTTCTTTAAAATTTCAGTGCCTCTGTTTCCTTATGTACCTTTTGCCAGCTTTCAGCCTTCTTGCACGCCTCCAGTGATCCCCTGTGAGTTTTCCTGCCTCTGTCATTTAGCAGCACCTGTATCCTGGGGTTTGCTTCAGAGTCCTCCCATGTCTTTCCAGCCTATATCCTGCTCTGTGTCCCCATGCATCTGTACCTGTTCCTAGAGAATCCTGTTGGTCATTCGTCTCAAAAAGTTGTTTGTGTTGTCTCTGAGGACCTGTTCCCTGTGGGGAACCCACGCACACCTGCCTCAGCTTGGACTGTACTCTTTACTGTCCTGTAATCCTGTCACTCAGTTTGGCAAGGGACTCTGCCTGCTCACCATCCCTTATTTCCTAGTAACTGCGATGCCCAGGTTGAGTTCAAGAACCTACCACCTGGAATTGTCTGCAAGTGCAACCTATCTCCACCTTCTGGAGCTCAGAAGAAGACCAAGTGCTTCATGGACACTGCACATTGGCCCTTCCAAGGGCCCTCACATTGTTTTTATGTGCAGGCTGGCTGGGCTCTTGCCAGTCTAAAATACCTAATTAGGCCATCCTTCCTGTCCGTAGACGCCCTTCTGCACGCTCATCTGTATCCCGTGTACCTGTATTCACTTATACCTCGTGTACACCTCTGTTGTATTCTTATATGTTATTGTGTACTTGACTTCTGTGTTCCTGAAGCCTCCGCATCTCAAAGCTGCAAAGATACTACTGTCCCCTCCTGTGAATGCTGAACCGAGTGCAGAAGTGTTTTCTTAAAGTATTTCTATGACCTGCTCTGCATGTAAGACCTGTTCACCTCCAGTTCCGCACAATAACTGCTTCCACTCCCTGTGAAACCCCTATTATCCCATACTATCCAAGATCCTCCTCACTGTGCTCTCCCTTTCACCCATGTCCAACTGGTAACCTTGTATTTAGAGCCGAACGCTACAAACACAGCATCTGCGCATCTTCAGCTTGCAGGTCAACCAATACATGAACAATCCCCGTTTGTGCAGACTCAACCTATGACAAAGGATAGTTGCCATGCCTATCATGCTTATCCTGTGGTTTCCCGTACAGTTTGAAGTCCCTGACCTGGAACGAAAGTGTGCAGATCAGGGGTTCCAACTGCTTTCTGCATGCTTGTTCCAGGACAGCATTAGGTCAGAAAAGCAACCCACTTATTCAGTACTCCTTCATTTTACATTTCCGTCTCTTTTCAGTTATAGTTTCTTTTACAAAGCAGACTAATCCTTCCTGATAAAGTGAAGGGAAAAGGAATGAAAGCAAACGGAAACCTCGCAATTGGGTAAACCTGTCATTGTGCCCTGCTTGGGCAAAGCATAGATTCATTTTAAAATGTAAATTTGGAGAAAATGTTCCTTTTATAATTTTGGGGGAATGCAGCTTCTCTTAGTGTGCAGCCAGACTTCCTCTAGAGCCTTACAGAATGCAAAAGAAGGTCCCCTGGTGACCACCAGTTGTATAGCTTTGCATGTAAATATTATTCAACAATAGGTTTCAGTAATTTATTTTAATGTTAATTACTAGCATGAAATGTATATTTTGTTTTTGTTTCGTACAACTTCCATGTTAAACTTTCTTTAATAACTCATAAAACAGTGCTGTCTATTCTTGGTTCAGTGGTCACACTTTACATGTCACCTCTGCTTTCAGAACATAACTTTCTACCCATCTCATTTAATATGATTATAATCAGTAAGATAACTGTTATTTTTTGCTCTCTATAAATAATATTTTACATTTTACAGGGTAAACCCCAGCAGTCTAAGGGTTTGGTTCACTAGTACAAAGCTCTGTGACAAGCCAATCCATTAGGAAAAAGGACTGACCCTGAGTTGTCTGTTCAGGTGTTGAGCTCTACATTGCTCTATTATCATGAATGATGATCAGATCAGTACCAATACTGGAGGAGAGTCCTAATGCGGGGTACACATGTGAAGTTTTTTTTTCCGTTCTAAACCCAGTAGTCTGAACAAAAAAAAAAAAAATGGAGAGGTCGCCATACTAACTAAGCAGTCTTAATGCAGCGATCTTTCACACTGAGTTATTGTATTCTGACAGGGGGACTGCCCCTACCAAAACACACTGATCAGTGCAAGCACCAATCGGATGCTGGTTCTCAGTATGCCCTTTCGATAAAAGCTGGTCGTCACCCTGACGGACAGGCTGCTGTACACTCAGACCAAATGTCGGTTGATTTCTGTTGAACTGACTGATACCGACTGATATATTTGGCCTGTTTGTACCAGCCTTAAGGCCTGGTGAATGTCCAAGATGCCTGGTTACAACTTCTGTGTTCAACCAATGACATAGCGGAATTGGTCAAAGCTGTACACCTGCCTGTCCCTTCTTAAGGGATGATGTAGTTGTAAACACTCCCCATTGTATCCAAGGAGACTGGCTATTCTAGTACAGAAATTGCAAATTGGGAAACTTCTCTAGGTCTATTGCAATACTTGTTAAGGTCAGTAAAAAGGATGCGGGTATGCCAAATTTTACTACCATCCTTAAGGCCCTATTCTGCTAAATCTATCACTGACCAAGCTATGCAGAAACAGTGTACACGTAGCAGAATGTATCCACGGTATTACAAGGTGTATCTGAATTCTTTTGTTAAGCCTTTACATTAGAGTAATTGTTATAACTGATGCTAATCAGCGCTGAATTAAAGCTTAAACTTTTCACAGATGCAAACCAGGCCCTCCGTCTCTGTCTGGGAAGCACTGCGGTCGGTGCACAATATGGCGCTGTTTCAGCATTAAGCATCAACAATGACTGTTCCAGGCTTCTCTGTGGCTTTGCAAAAGGACAGGTAATTTTACATTTGAACTCTTCTTCTCTGTTTATCTCTTATTATTTATACTTGATGCTCAGCAAGTAGCTCTGTAAGTCCTGGTGAAAAGATAATGCTTGACACATTTTTTTTATCTATATCAGACATTTTTATTTAGGATGCTTTTTCTCAATTGTAAAAATGTATTATTATTTTTTTTATTATAGAGGATTTATATAGCGCCAATAGTTTGCTCAGTGCTGTACATTATAATGGGACAGTACATGAGACAGTACAGTAACAATACGATTCAATACACGAGGGGTTCGAGGGCCCTGCTTCTTGGAGCTTACAATCTATTATGGTGTTTTCAGAAATTTCCAAACCATGTCAAACAGTAATTTTAATATTATAGTGTCTCTTGTTAGTCCTCTGCTTGGATTAATAAAAAAATAATAATTTGATGCACTACACACTTTAAAACATAATCAAAAAACAGAACCGGTAATGTTCTGAATGGAGTTTGGGTCAAACTAAAGAGGAATAAAACACATATGCTTTTTCTTAAATATTGTAAAAATATGAAAAATGTTGTCAGACTGAATGGTCCAGTTAAAAGCCTTGTTCCTGCCATACATGCAGAAAAACTGATGGAAATTGATGCACAGATTTCACTTGCAGAGACATGAGTTCATATCAAGTTTGCATGCGCATTTCAATGAGTTTTTATACATGTTGCAGATTCCTGCACATGAAAAAATCTGCACATGATACTAGTGTTGTGGAGTGAACAGGGCACATACAGAATAATTGTTTTCTTTGTGCCCTTGCAGAACACTAAAAAAAAAAACCTGATGTCTCTACACACTGATGTCATTTCCAACTTAATTGGAGAAACTGTGTTAAACACAGTTAATTACATGTAAATTAGTTAAGGTTGAGCTCAGGCGTGTTCAGATCCTAGTACAAACACACCTGAGAGATCCCATCAGGAAGCTGTCACTGTATTTGGCCCATCATAATCTGCCGAGACATTTCCCACCCCGCAGCTGCATGTTTACATGCCCCTGGTATACGTGTGGCTCCAGGGTGGGGAATTCCTCGACTGCTTGTGCCTTACACAGTACAGAAGACAGCTTCCTGGCGGGATTGCTCAGGTGGGTTCTGACTAGATTCAAACACACCTGAGCTCAACCCTAATTACAAATAATCAATAACACAGCGCAAAAAAAGTATAATAGCAGATGTATATTTATTTATATATTATTTATATGTAAAGGTGTTTTCACTTTAGGAACAGCAGCATTTTATTATTTATTAAGTTTATGATTTGTCACAGTAGCACGGGTATTTTAGTTTTTTGATTTTTGTTTTTTCATCCCTAATTACAATCTGCCTGTACAATCCCTTTAATATTTACTTCAAGCTGTGTAGTGCAGAGGCATGCTTGGTTGGGTACAAATTAGTGGAGTAGGTTAGATGTCCCTGATATTACTTAGTTATAGTAAATCTAAGGCTCCATGCACACTAGCATTTTTTAAGCTCAAAAAATGCTGGAAAAAAACACTGGATAACAAATGCTGATAACAGCGTTTTTTATAGTAGCTCTTCAGTGGCATTTAGAAGTGTTTAGGGGCATTTGTGTTTTTACAGTACACGTAGGGAGAAAAAAGGTAGAAAAAAGCTGTTAGGAGCATTTTAGTAGCGTTTAGGAGCGTTCAGCATTTTTTTCTGTTGGCAAATTGCTCTCAAAAACACAAAAAAGCAGGGTTTTTTTCTGCTCCTAAGAAGCTGAAGCTTAAAAAATGCTTTTAGCCTACAATAGTGTGTATACACACATAGGTTTCCATTATTTGTCTCTGGGGGCAGAAAAAAACACACATAGCTAGCTGCTAGGAGCGTAAAAATAAGTTAGAATGCATGTAGCCAAAAGGAGATTGTACAAAGGTTAAGTCAGACTGTAATATGGTGATCCGAAAATGTCAACACTCTCTGATACGTTGACATACATTTAGAAAAACTCCCAAAAATGTAAATTTCAACTCCCAAAAATGTAAACCTAGAGGTGCCTTTAAATTCCACTCCATCAGCTGTATCAAAGATAAGTGGGAGGCACATATGCAAACTGTTGTAATTCCTACACCGTTCACCTGATTTTGGATACCCTCAAATTAAAGCTGACAGTCTGCAGTTAAAGCACATCTTGTTCGTTTCATTTCATATCCATTGTGGTGCCAAAGTGGTGTATAGAGCCAAAAATGTTAGAATTGTGTCGATGTCCCAATATTTATGGACCTGACTGTAAGTGTTAAAGGTTTATTGACATATTTCATCATGTGAATGTCCTGTTCTTTCAGATTACGATGTGGGATCTGGCCAGTGGGAAGCTCCTGCGATCTATAACTGATGCCCACCCACCTGGCACAGCCATTCTGCACATCAAGGTAGCTGCAGTATTATTCTTTCTTCACTATGACCTGCACTGTGATTGTTCGTTTTGCTGTGTGAGAATTCCTCCTTGTTTTTATGTTTGATTTTAATCACGTAACTAGCACATTTAACACTTGCTTTTATTGTTGATCCCTCAATGTATATAATGAGGTCAAAAGCACTAATAGTTATTAGATGAAAGAAAAATATTAAATCTTTCTTAAAGGTAGTTCATTAAATCCACTCAAATTATCGAGTTTTCTGAGTTCTCTATACGAAAAAAAACCAAATTGTTTAAATAACCTAATTAATATTGATGGCATATGAACCAGACTCTGTGAGTCCCTGACAAGTCCATAATCCTCCTATTACGTTGAACCTTACTGAAATTCAGTCATTATGAGGCTTGACTGTATAGTATACTTCAGACTTTAAAACTTGAGAGGATTTTTGGGAGAGGCCCAGTGTCAAAATTAACTTTGTTTTTTTTTTATCCTGTTCTTTATTTACACACACTTTGGGCTCCTTGCACATTAGATGTTTATCCCTATACTGTACATCCAATTCCAGAGTTTGTGTGCCTGGGAGGCTCAGGCGCTGCAGCATTCAGCCCTGCTACCTGTAGCCTGTCAAAGTCTATGCCAGGGCCGTATGCCGGGAATGCAGTATACCTGCATTTTGGGCATACAGCACTAAACATGAGTACTACGTACTGTATTCAGCCCCATCCAGCCACAGCGTATTTCAGCCTGCCTTACTCTTTCACAGGCAGGGGGGGGGGGGTAAAAACTGCACCTGTTCCTCCCAAGTGCACTAAAACACTGGGAAATCCCTAGTAGGGTGCACATTACACCTCTCCTGTACCAACTCTTGATGCCTATCTGCACTGGGCTGATGTTTGGAGAGCACAATTATTTACCCCTACTGGAAGCACCTTCTTGGTGCTGAAGGGCATAAAAGAGAGTATAAGGATAGTAATGGGGCTCCATTCTCAGAGTTTTCCAGTAGGGGGGATAGGAGCCTGTATACCTGGTGTGCAATGGTGATATAATTCAATGATGATATAATTCTATGGGGATATATTACATTTTATTATTTGATAATTATGCTTTCAAACCTGAAAAAGCTAAAGAAATAAAGGTAAGGAAATAGCTGTGATTAAAAAAAGTCATATTATTGACTGATCGAAGTAAATGTTGAAGTTGACGTATTTGTTGGTTTATCTGTGCTTATAATTCTTATAATATAGGCATTCATTTGAGATCATCTATAAAGCATTTTATAAAGTCTAAAATAAAATGCTGCATAAAATAAAATGCACAAGTTGTTTTTCTTTGTTCCTTTATACAAACAAGGTTTGAATAATCAGTATTACCAAGCTGTTTTTTATTCAGTTTACAGATGACCCAACTCTTGCAATCTGCAATGACAGTGGAGGATCTGTATTTGAGCTGACTTTCAAGTAAGTTTTTTTTTTGTATTAGTCCTTTGGACCCATTGTTTCATTTGTGTATGTTATGTTATTGTCTTCATCTTCTAAAAAGCCATGGAAGATTTGGCACTACAATTAGTAACTGTACTCTTTTTAAAAATGTGGACTAGTTGTTTACATTACATTATACACTGTGTGCGAGGATTAATTTCTTTGTTGAACTACAGTGCTCTCAGTCAATCCAAAATGAATTAACCTCAAACCTGATTATTTAAGAAATTTAAAGTGAGGTTTTGGCTTTCTTAGGAGAATATCTATGTGTGCACAATTGTTGGGCAGCTATTAGTGTGCTGAATTATACAGCTAAATGAAAAAAAACAATTTTCCCATCTCACTTGTTTATTTTCATTTGTTAACCATTAGCCACCCGGCCAATGGCCGTTTGGCGGCTTCAAAAGTGCTTCTGCATTCCAGGTGCACGCCATTTGGCGTGCTCCTGCACATGCGCAGTTTGCGCTAATGCAGAGCGGTGCAGCGGGGCGATCTGTCACCGGCCGTGTACCTCGGACAAACAAACAACTCAACATTTACAAATATACTTTTCTGATGTTTAAAAAAAAAAAAAAAAAAAAATCAGTGACCAGTATAGCCACCATTATTTTCAAAAACTGTCATATGCCTTCCATTCATGAAGTCTGTCAGTTTCTTAATCTGTTGACAATCAACTTTTTGTGCAGCAGCAACCACAGCCTCCCTGACACTGTTCACAGAGGTGTACTGTTTTCCTTCACTGTAAATCCCCCGTTTAAAAAGGACCCACAAGTGACGTCTGGCACTGTGAGGGGTTTACACAGCTTAGCTTAGCTTTTGGTGCCGGGGGAGGAGCCTGAACATGGCGGCGGCGGAGAGCATTGGATAGGAGCTCTCCGACGGGACTCCTCCGTCCAGACCCTCCCCAGCTACCCCATACGGAAAGAGGCATGAGCGGCCGAAGAGGTACCTGGAGAGCGGGGTAACCGACGGCAGAGTGGATCCCTGGTGTGGAGACAGAGAGGAGCTGTTGATGCGGGCTAGGTCTACCCGGCAGCCCGGACAGCGGCAAGTGAGAGAGCCGGGAAGCCGGGTTGCCGAGGTGACAGGAGGAGGACGGCGGGACCATGTGACCAGCCGCAAAGGAGTGTTAGGAAAGGAGAAATCCGGCTGGCATCTCACAAGAGGCAGGGAGAGACAAGGCGGCTTCTCCGAGTACCCCCCTTGCTGAGCCTGCACCGAAGGGGGGAAAGGAAAAAATACATGCTGATCCAGGAACCAAAATACCCCAAGAGGAGAAGAAATAAGAGGGGGAAAAGTAAAAGGAAAGGACCCTGTGGAATCCCCAAGCAAACCAAGTGGAACTACAGACAGCAAGCTGGAGCCAGACCGAGGAGAAGGAGGGGTGAGCTGGGTGAGTGGAAGCTGCTGAAAACTGAAAAAAAAATAACTCATAAAATTGTGGGTTATTGTTTCCTTCGTATTTACTTGTTGCATGTGACACGACAAAATAGAAAACAAAAGAGAAGAGAAAGGAGGGGATTCCCAGGGTATCTGGAAAGAGAGACTAATTTAGTAATTAAAGCAGGAAAACTAGAGGATAACCTAACAGGCAAAAAGGGGACCCTATTATAGAAGTATACTATTTAATAGCATATGGAAAAATAAAAGAAACCCTATAGAAGACATGAAGAATAAGAGCATTAAAGGAAGTGGTCTTAAAGGATCCCAATCAGGAACAATTAAAAAATATACATCGCAGGGAAATATAACCCCAGAAAGACCACAAAGTATAAACAGGAAAAGAGAAGGGGATACCAGTCTGGAAAAAAGCCCTAGATTACACTGTTCAACAGGTAAAAAGTTTTGGGCATAAAATTAGCTAATCTTACATAATTTTGGGGTGCTGAAAACGAAAAATGACCCTAAAAAATGTTGATTGGCTCTAGTTTCCATGATATATTCACCCATCTAATGACGTAAGCCATTCAAAATTATGATGCAACTTCAGCTGCATATTGCGCAATTAATACTGGTGACCAATAGAAAATTGCATGTATACTGAGATGATGCAATATTAGCCTTTAATTGCATCACTTCACTGCATAAAAGCTGCAGTATCTGTAGCTGATTGTAGTTCGACAGCGTCTTTACATTTAATTTTATGCTTATATAGGCTACTCAGTAATGCCTCGAACTTGTGTGAATAAAGCAGATAATTTCTGCTATATCTGCGGTGAAATAACTTTTATCTCACAAAAAAGGAGGATAACAGGAATGATTAAGAAAGCCTACAACTTGTATTTTGGCTGCAAGATAGGAGACCAGGACAAGAGCTGGGCACCACATATATGCTGCAATTCTTGTGGGACGGCACTGGAGCAATGGTTGAATGGAAAAAAGGCATCTATGCCTTTTCGCTGTGCCAATGATTTGGAGAGAGCCAACAGATCATGTTAGTAATTGTTACTTTTGTATGGTGCCTCCAATTGTAAAAGGGCTAAATAAGAAGAAAAAGTTATCTGTGCACTATCCAAATATTCCATCGGCAATACGTCCAGTTCCTCATGGAGAGGGGCTAACCAATTCTTAAAGCACCAGAATCCTTCGTGGTTGAGTCAAGTGAGGAAGAACCTGAAGCGTGTAGTCACGTGCAGTTGTAAGAGATAGCCCTTTCCTCGAATACAAGAGAAAAGCCAAGAGAAGCAAAACCGACACAAACTGAAGACAAAACTAGTGAGAATCCTAAGTATTAAAATGATTCAACTTAGCTTATGGCTATAATTTTTCTTGGTAATCCTATGCAATATATTATGCCATTTAGGCTTTGTTATGTAGTCAATATCACTTGCTTTATATTTGTGGAAAGACATCTATCTATATAATTATTGTGCATTATGTAGTCATTACGCCTATAGTAGAAAACTTTTCCGTTTACAGAGAAAACTAGAGCCAATTGACCAAATTTCATTGTTATATTTGAACTCAGAATGTGAAATTCATTAAGAAATGGATCCTTTTGTTTCCAAAACTGGCAAAAAATAAAAAATTTGTTGAACAGTGTTATCATTGGGCTTGGATGTCACTAACCAGCAGATATCAGAAATAGTGGATGGGAGAGAAATGGAAAGTGACCTACAAGCACCAAATAAAAAAGAGATGGCAGAAATGTTTGAGGCCTTAGAAAAGATAATAAAGAATGAAATGGCAACTATACGGAAGGATCTGGGGCAGGTGCTGACAAGAGTGGAGGAAATGGAAGGAAAAGTACAACATCAGGCCCAGAATATATCTCAATTGGAAGAAAAAGTAAAAAATATGGAGAAAACGCAAATAAAGCTGCTGTATAAATTGGAAGTAAAATAAAATAGGGACAGGAAGAACAACCTAAGGCTGAGAGGAATCCCAGAGACTATAGAAGGGGAAATATTACAAAAAGAAATATGTAAAATTTTAAATTCCATATTGAATAGAGCTGCGTCAGAGGTGATTAAAACAGATGGCGTTTTGGAGAAAAGGAAAGTTTCAAAGTGGTGGGAAGGAAAATCCAAGAGATGTAATAGTCCAATTACATAGATATGGAGACAGAGAAGAGATCTGGAGGAAGATTAAAGGAAAGAAAATGATTAAATATGGAGAAATGGATATTCAGATCTTTGCAGACCTTGGACCAGAAACTTTGTGGAGAAAAAAGAACTTTGAAACCACTGACAGAGCAGATGAGAAAAAAGAAGGTGCTCTATAGATGGGGAAACCCCCAATTTGTCTGATTGGTGGAAAAATGGGATAACAGCCTACCTGAGATTCCCAGAAGATATGAGAGGACTTTTGTGAAAAACTTGAGTTGCAGAGGATGGAGATCCTTGGATGGGAAGAAGAAAATAAAGGAGGAGAAGCAAGACAAAAGGAATGGCAGACTGTTAGAGGGAGAAAGTAGAATTAATTACTGTCTAAATAGAGATTTTCCTGAGATTTTCCCTAGGGGTGAAACCGCGGATTGTTAAAAGTAAAGAAAGAAATGAGATAACGGACGGGAACAGCTGGGGAGGAGGGTGAAGGAGGAGGAGCTGTCCATGGACAGAGTTCAAACCCCAAAAATAATCAACAGTGGTTCTTAGAACCACAAATGATTAGTAGGTATATTAGATGCCTAGTGGTGGGGAGGGGGGTGGGGGTGGGGGGGTGAGGTTAGGGGGGGAAAATGGGGGGTGGGAGAGGGGATGGAGGGAAAGGCGAGGGAGGGGGGGGAGGGAAGGGGGTGGGTTGGGGGAACGGGAGGGAGGGAGGGAGGAGGGGATAGGAGTAGGGTGGGGGGAGGGGAGGAGGTATTGGGCTAATACTCTGCATGACAGAAGGGATAAAGAGGAAGAGGCAATCTGGAAGAGAGATGGAGTTAATTGGGAATGATGGAAGAAATACAGTTTATAACCTATAATGTGAACGGGCTGAGCTGTCCAGGGAAGAGATTTAGGTTATTTAATGAGTTACATCATAGGGCTACGTCAGTGGTATTTTTACAGGAGACGCATTTTGAGATAGAGGCAAACGTGAAATTGAAATCCAAACACTACCCAACATGGTACTATGCAGATTCCCCAATTAAAGAGCAAAAGGGGTTGCAATAGGTTTGGCAAAGAATATGAGATTTGAGCTGGAGGATAGAAGAACCGACCCGGAGGGGAGGTTTTTATTTTTAAAAGGTAGACTTCAGGGGATTGAGTGTACTTTAGCCAACATATACTGCCCTAATAAAAACTCGGAGATGTATATGAAAGGTTTGTTGAAAAAAATTAATGGAATTTAAAAAAGGGTGCTTGATAGTAGCTGGAGACCTAAATTTCTGTATGGACCCACAAAAGGATAATACCTCTTCCGTGCAAAGAGAGGGGAGTAGGTCTCTGAGATCTTTGAAAAAAGTGATGCATGAATATCAACTAGTGGACACCTGGAGAATAATGCATATGAAAGACAGAGACTATACCTTCTTCTCTAATGCACAT